TCAAGGCTAACGCTCTACCACTTGAGCCACAGTGCCACTTCCGGCTTTTTTCTTTTTGCTTATGTGGTGCTGAGGAATCGAACCCAGGGCCTCATGCCTGCAAAGCAAGTGCTCTACCACTGAGCCACCTTCCCAGCCCAAGTCCATGACTCTTATCTCCAATTAACCACCAGAAAACCCAAGTGGCACTGTGGCTCAAATGATAGAGCACCTTGAGGTGAAGAGCTCATGGACAGTGCCCAGGCCCAGAGTTCAAGCCCCACAACCGAACAAAAAAAGAATAAAACGAAAAGAGCTGAGGGTAGGCCAGGCGTCATTGGCTCATGCCTGTAATCCTAGTTACTCAGGAGGCTGAGATCTGAGGATCGTGGTTTGAAGACAGCCTGGGCAGGAAAGACAATGAGACTCTTATCTCTAATTAACTACCAGAAAACTAGAAGTGGTAGAGTGTTACTTGAGCAGAGAAAGCTCAGGGACAGTGCCCAGGCCCTGAGTTCAAGCTCCATGACTGACAAAAATAAATAAAAAGAGCTGAGGGTGTGATGCTATAGTGCTTGTCTAGTACAAGGTCCTGAGTTCAAATCCTACTACTGCCCCCTCCCCCAACAAATAAGTTATTAGCAAAGTTTAACTATTCATTTTTAGGGTCTGGGATATGGGTGGGAGAGCGTGTCCTTAACGTGTATGTACAAGTGTCAGGACTTAAGTCCCAATACTAAAAAAATTTAAATAGATAAATGGATAGATGAATCAGATAAACCACTATTGGCTGTTATCTCTTTAGGAATGTTACTTCATAGTTCTGAGCTTTCATTTTTTCACGTGAAAAGTAGGAATAGCATTTCCTACTACCATAGGATTATTGAGAAGACTAAATGAGATCATGTCAAGATCCCGTAAAAACTTGGCACAAAGCAGGCAATCAACAAATGTAAGTTCCCTTCTCACCCTCTCCCCATTGTCTCCTCAAGAATTATTTATTTCTTTCTCCCTTGGTAGATAATGAGCTCCTGGAAGGCAGAGACCATTTCTTCTCATCCTGTATCTTCTCAGTATCCAGCACAGGAAATATGCCCATTACATGTTTACTGGATGGATAAAAGGTCAGTCAGCTTCATACTGTCAGGAAATCTTGTTCCTTAGGCAAAAGCTCTCCCTGGCCCACGCTGAGATCAGCTTCCTGAAGAGAGGAATGGTCTGGTCTCAAGTGGGAGAATCCACAATGGCATCCATCAACACTGTTCTAGAAAAGCACCTCAGAGGAGCCTAACTCCTGCTGGGTGGGAATAAGAACCATCATTAGCTACATGTTCTTTGTCCTATGAAGAAGGAAGCAGTGTGTGATTGACTTCCAGCCATTTGGCCTTCTCTGGGTGACAGAAGCAGAAATGATGCTTTTAAGAAGCAGTTCGGCTCTCTGCAGCTTTCATGTGCTTCACTGTCAGCTGCACTGCCTTTGCGCTGCTGTCAATGTTCCTTTGTATAAGACAGGCACTGGCAGGGTTTCTTGTCTTTGTGACGCCCCTTCCAGGTTTCCCTAAGCCCTGGATCAACTGAGATGGTCCCTGAGCTAGGTGCAGGCATAGGAACTTTGGACTCCATACATCATATGCTCGCAAAGCTTACACAGCTCTGGCTCCTTGGGCTCCTATTTTAAAGACAGGGCCTATTACTGTCTGGGGGAATGCAGGCTTTCTTGATATTCCACTACTTTTACTAAGGGCTGTGATGTGATAGGAGGGGTGAATGTCTGAAATAATTCACACCTAGATGGCTTTGCTAAGGAAGATCACTAGGACGGCATTTTGTTAGAGGTGCTTATGGGAGCTGGGGTGGCAGTAGACAAATGTAGAGCCAGTCCAGCATCTGCCCTTCCTATACATACTCAGCTTCCAACAAATGTCATCATAATTCAGAATAAATAAAATCCAAACCACATGCATGTACCCCACTCAGTGCAGTCTCATCATTGATGCCAATTAAAAATGTGATAGTTAAGCTGGATTTCCCTCATCTCCAGAAAATACTGGGTTAACCCTCTTCTCCCTTCTAGAGAAGAAAGGAAGGCTCCAGCTACCATCTGTGTCATTGTATGTTCCTGAAGCTTGCAAAACTCCCAATGCCCCTGAGACTCCAGAAGTAATCTGTACCCTGAACTTAGACCTGGAGGCCTGCTGCACAATTAAATGTGTACCACAGTAGAGAAGTCCACCAGAATATCTGAGTACATGTTTGCGTCCCTTCTTTCTGGGAAGAAAGTGGGGAGGGTGTTGGGTAGATAAAGCCTACTGGCACATTTGAGGCTTCCACAGAGTCAGGCTGCATGGAACAGCTCATGTAATTACAGGCACATTCGCCAACCCAAGACACAGCTCTGGGAACCTCCCACTTTACAGAGAATTCTGCTCTGTCATTCCATCTGCAGCTTTCACTGCAGCTCTTCCTGCCACCCTTCCCACAGATTTCTTTTGAAGCAGGTGGAGGGGAAGGTAGAAGAAACCTACAGGGGTGGAGGTAAATGAAGAAAGGGTAGAGGGGAAGACTCCGTACCAAAAAAGGAGGCTCTCTGGGAAGGGGGATGGGCTACATGTTCACATTACCTAGGGAAGGCAGATGGAGGAGAAATAGGAACATGGAAGGAGAAGGAAAACTAAATAAAGAGCACCAACGACCCCTGAGGGCAGAGCACAGGCTCTCGGAGGCACTCACTCAGGCTGCCCAGCTGTCGGATGACATTTGCCAGGGTGATGTTGGTCACGCATTCCAGCTCGTTGCTTCTAACGCTAGGCAACGTCTGACGGCACAGGTGCCTTGGCTCGATGTTCCTCGTTACTAACGGCATGGTGGACCTGCTTCAGGCAATGTTCTAAATGATGAAAAACAACCTAAAAAAGAAATAACAGGAAAGTATTACTCAACCACAAATTCCAGGCACACTAGGGCTGTGTGTCTTTTGTTTTTGGTGGGTTTTTTTTTTAAGCTGGCTGATCTAAAACAGCTTTTCTTTTCTTCTTTTCTTTCCTCCTTCCATTTTTCCCTGCTTCTCTCTCCCTCCTTCCTGTCTTTCCTTCTTCCTTTTTGTTTTTATGACAAGAGCTTGTCCAAACTGGCCAACAACTTGCAATCCTCCTATCTGGGTCTCTCAAATGCTGACCCTGTAAAGGTGTAACATTGTGTACAGCTTTACAACAGCTTTCAAAAAAAAAAATCTTTACTCTCTTTTTCTTTTTTTTTTTAAGCCCCTCAATCATTTGCAGGTTTGCTACTAAAATACTTGCTATGGAAGTTTAGACAACCTAAACTAGTAACTGCTGGCTAAGGTACACAGGCAGTGCAAAAACTTCAAGTGACAACTACTGCTCCAGCCAACAACAGTCCCCAGAGGCAAGGAGGCGTGGTCACAGAACAGTCCATTCAGCAGGCCTCGGATGGTAAAGAACCTATCCTTGGTGTATCTGTAACCCTATAACCAAGACAAATAGACTCTAGACCACCAACTGTAAGGATTAAAAAAGATCTCTTCTCATCTAATAATTTCTACAATGAAATCAAGCTGCCAACAGTGATTCTGGTGATCTACATCTGGACATGACTTCTCCAGTTCTTCCTGGGTGGATAATTGTACTGCATGACTAACTGCTAGCTGCCAGCATCTATTAACACGACCAAAGTTTAGTCTGTAAATTGATACAATGAAAGAATATCAAGGAAAACTAAACATGCTCAATAGGTCCAACCTGATACTGAGTGTGCTGTGCTAAGCTTTCCTGGTCTTTTCTCATCTACCTAGCAGTTCCCTTCCCACTCAGGCTCCTTTCTCCCTCCCACCCTGTTCAATACACCTGGGCCAAAGACAGCAGGAAGTGTCTGGAGCAGATCCGGAAACCTTCCAGTTACTGAGTCTTACCCTGACAGCTGAGCCCCTTTCCCTAGGAAATCCCCCAGCACTTCAGGCTATGCTGAGCCATTGTTTCAGATTTAGATTACCAAATGCTTAATTTTACCAGTTGAGGAAGAGGTTTTAATGTCAACAAAATGGCACACTGACTGGTCTGGTCCTGTGTGCACAGACTGTGATGAAATGAGAAAACTCATTTCAAACAAAAAGACAAGACATAAAAGGTAACTTATCTAAGCGCCCAATAATACACATTTAACTAAAAACAAAACAAAGAGGTTTACTTACATCAAATCTTAAAATACCAGCTCACCATCAAAGTTGATTGTGCATACAAAATGCCTAAATCCAACTAATCATCATAGATCCAACAATTTGGGAACCAACAATATACTGTCTGACCAAAAGAAAAGAAAAAAGAAGTCCTTTGGGCTCAAAGAGGGAGAAGAGCCCTTTGGAACAGACTGCTCCAAGTTATGGACACTCTGATCTGCTCCAGTAAAAATAAAACAGGAAGCCAGCAGCTTGGGGAACAAGATTTCCTGTCACCAATAGCAACAGCCCAAGAACCAAGAGAATCAGCTGTTTGCTTGCAAATGTGCGCCTCCCTTTAATAGTTACTGTGTGGCAGCTGTGCCTATCTTTGGGGTGCAGAGGTGTTTCCTGAATACTTGCCTACTGTCTTAGGAAATGACCTCCATTCCATTTCTCTACTAAGTTCCTCCTTTGACTCAACAGGTTTTTAAGTCTAAACTCCAGACTTTCCAGTTTTACACTTTTCTTCTTTCACTTATTATAAAAAGTTATCAGGGGCTAGGAAGTTGGCTCAGTGGTAGAGTGCTTGCCTTGCATGCATGAGACCCTGGGTTCAATTCCTTAGCACCACATAAGCAGAAAAAAGCCAGAAGTGGCACTGTGGCTCAAGTGGTAGAGCGCTAGCCTTGAGCTGAAGAGCTGAGGGACAGAGCCCAGGCCCAGAGTTCAGCCCCCACGACCACCACCATCAACAACAAAAAGAGTTATCAGTTAGAAGAATATAAAAAAGGAAAGGCTTTGTATAATCTTTAGGATGCCCTTAATACCCTCAAATTTCAAGTTGTTTGTGTGTGTGTGTGTTCAAGAGAAATAGGCCTGCCAAGATACTGTAGGAATGTCTGGAGAGGGTCACTATGGCTTCATCCTTCTAAGTACCATTCTACCTTCTTAAAGGAACTACAGGAGCCAGACCACATTGAAATTCTGTGTTCAATGTGACCAGTCAGGGCATTCTAGACTTTCCTTCTGGACATTTAGTGGGGACTGAGATCCCAGATGGCTAGATACTTGTTATCTTAGGAGCAGAGAAGTAAAGGCTAACATCCTGGTACTTTTAGCATTTATGTATTTCCAGGACCTTGGGTTAGCAGACACAAGCAGAATTAATTCCTATCATTTGCACGGTGTTTCCTTAAAACTAAAATTTAATAACAAGATGTTTCCTCTTGTCAAAAAAGCCAACTCTCAAAACTATTTGGGAGGTACTTTAAAAATGAGGCTGGCTTGAGCAGAAAAAAGTAGGTGACAGCGCCTAGAACCTAAGTTCAAGTTCCAGTGCCAGCACAAAAACCAATACCAAACAAAACCCTTATTTGCATTAATCTTGACATCAAAATAAACTAACTATTACTCATTTTCACGAAAAAAAAAAAGAGGCTGGGCGTAGTGGCTCATGCTCGTAATCCTAGCTACTTGGAAACAGGGAGCACCAGGACTTGGCAAAATTGAGAGCACCAGCCTTGCCAAAAAGTTAGAAAAGCAGCCAATCAGGGAATTATAGTCTATAGAACTTGCAGGTGGCAGGATAAACGATAAACTAAAACCTTCTTGACAACAAAATAGGGGCAGGAGACTACAAAAGAATGAGGAAGTGGGCTGGGAAGGTGGCTCAGTGGTAGAGCGCTTGCCTTGCATGC